CCCCAAAACCCCAAAACCCCAAAACCCCTTCAAGGGTGATTTCGATTGGATAGTTTTTAAATTAAGCCTAACTGTTAAGAATTATTTTAATTTTTGTGTTACTACCACGAAGGAATGGACAAGTACAAACCTCGGTGAGGAATTAAGCAGTGACCTAATCAAGCTGACTTTTATTGTGACACACATGAGATTAGCCTGTGCGATCAATGCAATGCAGTCAGATGTTATGATTGAGACATGATCGTGATTTGTAGCCCAGAGAAGCTCAAGCAGAGTTCTGAGCTATTGCATGGGTTTTTAAGGGAACTCGTGAGAAAAGCAGAAGTCAATGATCTTTATGTGTCTATATCTGGGCTACAAGAGGCTCTTGATGATGTTTCAGAAGTACTTAAAGCATTTGAGGAGCAAGTTGCTGAGTGACTTAAATATTATGACCCTATTGAAGCTTCAAAACTAGTTATGCAGAGCAAGCTAATCCTCTCAGACATATTTAGAGGAACTATAGTCTCCAAACATGGTGACTTCAATCCAATTCTGAGGCTTTTATTTGACAGCCAAGTGATTGACACTCAGAAAGGATTCTTCGATGATCCTTGAGTAAACACCGAGAGAACAAAGGACTTGAAGGCAATGAAACTTGTCAGAGAGCTTACTTTTAGAAACAAGAGTATTATAGAAGACCGAATGAAGAAAGAGCTTGAAATGGTCAAGAATAAAGCTATCAGAGAGACAGAACTGAAAATGAATAAAATATATATACCTCAAATAAATTCATTGAAGGAAATTAACCAATCATTAGAAGATGAAAAGTGCAAAACTGATGAAAAGTTAAAGCTATCAATGGAGCTTTGAGATAAAACCACCAATGAGTTATTCCTTGAGAAAGAGCAAGTACTCAGACTGACAGAACAAGTAGAAGCCATGAAGCGAGAAAATACAGCTATAAAGGATCTATGTGAGAATATGAAAAGTCTTAATCCTGATAAAGGGGAAATCTGACAGTTTCCTGATACCACAAACCCAGGTCTACCTGAAGCTTGAAGCGTGGCTTTCTTAGGCCCTACAGTAGGTAAATCCTCATTGCTAGGTAGGATGACCGGTGAAGAGTTTAAAGAAGACTATACCTTCTCTACAGGCTTTGACTATAAAACTATTAAGACTGAGTTTCAAGGCAGAAAAGTTTGTCTCAAGAATTATGATATCACAAATAGTTTAGCAAATATGTCTGATACAACTTCATCGCTGAAGTATAAGAATGTGACTACTTCCTTTGTTAAGTCAGTCCAATGTATTTTCTTGATGTATGACATCACTAAAGAAGCTTCTCTTGAGAACTGCCAATCATGGGTGGATAGTCTCCTCAAAAATGAGATGACTGATAAGATTATCTATCTAATAGGCAACAAGACAGATCTGGAAGACCAGAGAGAAATCTCTCAAGAAGCAATTGCTGAGTTCAAATCTAAAAATAACATAGATTTTCACTTTGAAGTGTCTGCCAAGACTGGAGAGGGTGTCGAGCAGTTGTGAGAGCATGTGCTGAAACATTTATTTATATCCCGCCAGCCAATCTCCATTGAAAACCGTCCCTCTGTATACAAGCGGAAAGGTTGGTTCGGTTGAATGTTCTCTACTGAACAATAAATTTCTAATATCCGAAAATCTCGTTTTCAAAGCTGATTTCTTCCATTGGGGTTTTGGGGTTTTGGGGTTTTGGGGTTTTGGGG